GGGGGTAGGAAGCGATTCATCCCTTCCATCGTCACCGGGAGCTCCTCATATCGGATGATTCGGTGGAAGCGGGGGAAATGATCGCCATTGCGGGGGAGGGAGGCGAGGTAGTCGCGATAGAAGGAGGAGAGGGTGCGGAAAAGCGCCGCTCGAAAGATCTCGAAGTGGCGGCAAGCGGGGATTGTCCCCGTGGCAACGCAGTAGACCTCTACCACGTTGGATTGCTCCCATGCAGCACTGAACAGCAGGAAATGCTAGCAAAACGTGGGAGCAGCGGACTGAAGGGAGGCGTGGGGGTGGACGGTGGCGAGTAGACGGGTAGAATAGAAGTCACGGAAGAGATGGGGATGGAAAGGATGGGGAGGGAAGGTGACGGGGGTACGGATCTGCTCGAGGGTGAGGAAATCAAGGGGTCCGCGGGACAACATCCGAGGACGAAGGCCTATCGCTCGCATCGGCACGTGGGCGAACTGCGGGACGGGTGGGGCTGGAGGAGGAGGGGGATCGGCGCCGTCTCCGCCGCGCGGTACTTGAGGTGGCGGCTGCAGGGTCGCCATCTTCGAGCCTCGGCGGCTCTGGATCCCCAGTCGGATCGCTACCGATGCGCAGGCTAGCCTCGCTAGCTAACTTCAGCTAGCACTCTCCGAAGGCAATCTCTTCGCGCTTTCGCGCCGCTTCCGGATCTTCCGCCTCCGTTCCCGTATGCGTCACCTCCTCCGGCGGGGCTTCCCACTCGGACCCGGTTCCTTCTTCTTCCTCTTCCTCCTCACTCAGCTCGCCCCCGCTATGTTCACTATAGCTTCCCTCCTCCAATGTTTCCTCGTCGTCGTCTTCGTCGATCACCACTTCTTCTGCCCTCGGGTAGAAGGCGTAAGGGATGATCTCGTACGGCTTCAGATACTCCTGCCGCGATGGTAGCGTATCCTCGTCCCTAGGTTCCTCCAAGCACGAAGTCCACTGAAGGTACGGATCCAAGGATCGCTCGAAAATGTACGGAGCAGGACTGTTGTCACTCTGAAAGTAGATGTCAGGCGAGAGATCGTCTGCCAATTGCACGATCAGTGCGATGAGCTCCTGTGCAATCAACTTACGGCGACCCGGTCGTACCGATCCAAAGAGGAATCCAATAAGATCTCCTTCCGCGTTGGTCCTCCAACCCTGTATGATTAGCAGCTCCGGATTCTCGATCCACGCTGGATGCTTGCTAATGTCCGTCCACGTCACCTGTACTCTGGCCAAGCAGAAGGACAGCTCCTCAAAGGTTTCGCGCCACAGCCGCCAATGTCCAGGGTGGATAAGAGGGATCGAAAGGGGCTCGAACGAGAAGGAGAGAGAAGGGTGAAGATCGGATTGCCAGAAGGTGGGGAAGAGAGAGGGAAGGCCAAAGATAGAGAGAGGAGCGAGAAGATTAGCGTGGTTCATTGAGGACGGGGGAAGGGGACGAGGGTTGGGTTCGCAACTGGCCGCTCGCGGGGTGATCGGCGAATACCGTCAAGATCCGATGCAAAAATCGGGATGATGTTATACCCTTCTCGGGTGAGGACGTGCTGCCACACGTTGGACACTTGCTCCGTCCACTCGCGCAGCAAGGCCAAGATCGCGGTATGCCTCAGCGGATTGACTGAGCTGATGTCGCCGGTGAATCCCGCCACTGTGGTGACATGGCTCGTTCTGGGACCCGCTCGCTGATGAACTGCAGTAACCTCCGCGAACACTATCGCGTGAGGGCTTCCCTCTATCCGAAACGCGGCGGCGGCACAGATACTTTCGTCGCAGAAGAATCGCATCAAACGACGAAGATCCGTATTGAGTCAAGGGTGACAAACTTGTCGAATCTCTGAGATGTGGCCACGTGGCTGCCGCAGCTGTTCGTCAAGAACCTGCTCCGTGATAAAACTCATGGCGAGGTCGGAGA